CCTGTGATGGGGACACCTGATGGATGGGGGGCCCTGTGATGGGGACACCTGATGGACGGGGGGACCTGTGATGGGGGCACTTGATGGATAGGGGGACCTGTGGTGGGGACACCTGATGGATGGGAGGACCTGTGATGGGAACAGCTGATGGATGGGAGGACCTGTGATGAGGACACCTGATGGACGGGGGGACCTGTGATGGGGAAACCTGATGGATGGGGGGACCTGTGATGGGGACACCTGATGCATGATGGTAGGGGCCCCATTGCTTTGCCCAGGGGCCTATGATTCTATGAAGACGGCACTGGAGTTAGCTGACCCCAGTGGTGACCACTCCCAGTCGGCTGGCTCTCATGTGTCGGGTGAGGCCGAAGGATCCATCACACTGAGCATCATCATCCTCGTCTTCCCAACCTTGGACAGCGTTCCCCGCAACGGGCAGCACAGGGTGGAGGATTACCTGAGGATGATGTCATACAATTCCCTCCATCACCCCAACACTGCTTGTCCCTTATAACCAACAAAGTCCTTCCTACTGACAGACAGACCGAGGACACAGCGCTGAGCTTCATGATAGAGTTCCTCTGAGCTCCACTAGGGGGATCTCACTTCTACCCACACAGGAAGTCTCTGTGCAAGACAGGAAGTGATGTCAGCAACAAACAGGAAGTGATGTCAGCAACAAACAGGAAGTGATGTCAGCCACAGACAGGAAGTTTTTTGTAGTACAAAGTAGAGAGGAGACATTGCTGGAAGTGGCAGCAGAGGAGGTAATAAGATCTGATTTTTATATTTACACCCAGTAACCCCCATCATGTCCGTCCTCTTCCTCCACCGTCTTGCCCGTCCTCTCCCTCCACCGTCACGTCCGTCCCTCTCCCTCCACCGTCACCGTCCTCTCCCTCCACCGTCTCGCCCGTCCTCTCCCTCCACCGTCTCGCCCGTCCTCTCCCTCCACCGTCTCGCCCGTCCTCTCCCTCCACCGTCTCGCCCGTCCTCTCCCTCCACCGTCACGTCCGTCCTCTCCCTCCACCGTCTCGCCCGTCCTCTCCCTCCACCGTCTCCTCCACCGTCACGTCTGTACTCTCCCTCCATCCGTCCGTCCTCTTCCTCCACCCGTCCTCTTCTCCTCCGTCGCGCCCGTCCTCTTCCTCCGTCGCGCCCGTCCTCTTCCTCCACCGTCGCGCCCGTCCTCTCCCTCCACCGTCGCGCCCGTCTCTCCCTCCACCTCCACCGTCCTCTCCCTCCACCGTCGCGCCCGTCCGTCCTCCACCGTCGCGCCCGTCCTCTTCCATAGTTACTGTGACGTCTTTTATCTCCAGCAGATGATGATACACACATATATAGTGTGGGAACCCAGATTAACCCCTTCAGGGGCAGAACATTCTCCTCATTGTGGAGATGTCACCTTTCCCACCAATCACCTCAGCTCCTCAGTCTATACTGACCCATTATATGACTTGTATCATCACTACTTATAGTTACCTGTCGAGGCCGAAACCTGTATAGACCACATAGCTGCCCAGAGGAGGATGGAGGAGGACCGGAGTCACATGACTGAGAAGATACTAAACCTCACCCTGGAGATCATCTACCTGCTGACCGGAGAGGTGAGGAGCATTCTGTGAGGTCACATGACATCACACAGACCTGACCGGAGAGGTGAGGGGGATTCTGGGAGGTCACATGACATCACTCTCATCTCTATTACTAAAACACAGACCTGACCGGAGAGGTGAGGAGGATTCTGGGAGGTCACATGACGTCACTCTCATCTCTATTAATAAAACACAGACCTGACCGGAGAGGCGAGGAGGATTCTGGGAGGTCACATGATGTCACTCTCATCTCTATTAATAAAACACAGACCTGACCGGAGAGTTGAGGAGGATTCTGGGAGGTCACATGACATCATACAGACCTGACCGGAGAGGTGAGGGGATTCAGGGAAATCACATGACATCATTCTTATCTCTATTAATAAAACACAGATCTGACCGGAGAGGCAAGGAGGATTCTGGGAGGTCACATGACATCACTCATCTCTATTAACCACTTCCAGTCCGGACACTTTTACCCCCTTCCCGACCAGGGCAATTTTCAGCTTTCAGCGCTATCACACTTTGAATGACAATTGCGCGGTCATGCAACACTGTACCCATATGAATTTTTTACCATTTTTTTGAGACAGATAAAACTTTATTTTGGTGGTATTTATTCACCGCTGGGATTTTTATTTTTTTTGCTATGTAAATGAAAATGTCCAAAAAATTTGAATTGAATTTTGAAATTTTGCAAATAAATACTGTATTTTTCGTTCCATAAGACGCACCAGACCATAAGACGCACCTAGGTTTTAGAGGAGAAAAACAAGAAAAAAAAAATATTCTGAACCAATGGACTGCAGACACAGTACAGGAGATCACCAGAGACTGCAGACACAGTACAGGAGATGACAAGCGACTGCGGACATAGTACAGGAGATGACCAGAGACTGCGGACACAGTACAAAAGATGACCAGAGACTGCAGACACAGTACAGGGAATGACCAGAGACTGAGGACACAGTACAAGGAATGACCAGAGACTGCAGACAGTACAGGAGTTGACCAGAGACTGCAGACATAGTACAGGAGATGACCAGTGACTGCGGACACAGTACAGGGGATGACCAGAGACTGCAGACATAGTACAAGGAATGACCAGAGACTGCGGACACAGTACAGGGGATGACCAGAGACTGCGGACACAGTACAGGGGATGACCAGAGACTGCGGACACAGTACAGGGGATGACCAGAGACTGCGGACACAGTACAGGGGATGACCAAAGACTGCGGACACAGTACAGGGGATGACCAGAGACTGCGGACACAGTACAGGGGATGACCAGAGACTGCGGACACAGTACAGGGGATGACCAGAGACTGCGCACACAGTACAGGGGATGACCAGAGACTGCGGACACAGTACAGGGGATGACCAGAGACTGCGCACACAGTACAGGGGATGACCAGAGACTGCGGACACAGTACAGGGGATGACCAGAGACTGCGGACACAGTACAGGGGATGACCAGAGACTGCGGACACAGTACAGGGGATGACCAGAGACTGCGGACACAGTACAGGAGATGACCAGAGACTGCGGACACAGTACAGGAGATGACCAGAGACTGCGGACACAGTACAGGAGATGACCAGAGACTGCGGACACAGTACAGGGAATGACCAGAGACTGCGGACACAGTACAGGAGATGACCAGAGACTGCAGATACAGTACAGGGATGACCAGAGACTGCGGACACAGTACAGGGGATGACCAGAGACTGGGGGACACAGTACAGGAGATGACCAGAGACTGCGGACACAGTACAGGGATGACCAGAGACTGCGGACACAGTACAGGGGATGACCAGAGACTGCGGACACAGTACAGGGAATGACTAGAGACTGCGGACAGTGCAGAGGATGACCAGAGACTGCAGACAGTAAAGGAGATTACCAGAGACTGCAGACCTTTGGGGAGGGAGGGGGAACGGGTACCTGAATTTAACAGGTACCCCCTCCCACTTCCGCAGTATTGTCCTTCCTTCTTCCCGCGGTGGCTTCTGTGACAGCTGGGTGCCCACTGCGCATGCGTGAGAAGCGCTGCACTTTGTGAATGGCCCGGAGCCTTCTGGGACCTGTCATGCGCAATGGGCACCCGGCTGTCACAGAAGCCGCTGCGGGAAGACTGCAGCGCTGGAGCGAGGAACAGGTAAGGTCCTGTAGGAGAGAAGAATTGAGTGGCCGGCCTGGTATTCTGACATGGTGGTGGTAGAAATACCGGACTTTTTTTGGGGGGAAAAAAGTGCGTCTTATGGAGCGAAAAATACGGTAATATTTCATCATAAATCATGGCCAAAATTTAATCCGTTATCTTTTTAGTTAAAAAAAAAAAAAAAAAAAAAAGCAAAATTAGTTTATAACCAAAAATTATAATTTTTAAATTGTACTACTGTTGGGGGGTGATGAAGATTTTTTTTTTTTTTTTTTTTTTTTTTTTACACTGATTGCTTTTACGCCCATATAGGATGTAAAAGCAAACATTTCTTTTTCTCTCTGTCTGCATTCTTGCAGCCATTGTGAAATACTGACTGAGCTGTGATTGGTCACAGCTTGTCACATGGTACAAGGCTGTTGTGACCTTTGTGATCATTCACAGATTTCACACGTAGTAAGCAATGATGTCACAAGTGACATCTTGCTTACTACTTTGCATGTGATCACTGATTGGCCAATCAGTGATCACATGATTGGGACCTCGTACAGAGGTCCCGTCCGACGATCGGTGTTTCACTGTGTCCGGAGGAAACAGTGGGCACCGGATCGCGGTGCTGCGTGCTCCCGGGGAGCGCGCACAAGCAGGGTGCGGGGAGGCCGTTTATAAACGGCCACCCGACCCTGCAGTGCCACCGTCCGGCCGTTTTTATATACAACGGACGGTCGGGAAGTGGTTAATAAAACACAGACCTGACCGGAGAGGTGAGGAGGATTCTGGGAGGTCACATGACATCACACAGACCTGATTGGAGAGGTGAGGAGGATTCTGGGAGGTCACATGACATTACTCTGGTCTAGTCTGGCCAATAGACCATGTTCTTCTTGTAGACATGTAGATGATGTCAGATGATTGATATCGGTTTCTCTTTCTCCTGATCTGTAGGATTATGTTGTAGTGAAGAAGTCTAGTGGGGAGCCAATCTCAGGAGGATGGAGCAGGACCCAGAGCCCCACCATGGTGCCTCCCCCTCGTTCTCCCATACCTGAGAGGAACAAAGAGCAGAAAATCCTGGAACTGACCACCATGATGGTCCATCTGCTGACAGGAGAGGTGAGCGGTGCCCGGAATTCTGGGACATTCTCCAGTAACAGACAAGGGATGTGTCTGGATGGTGACTGTATCATTGTGTGTGTCAGGTTCCTATAAGGTGTCAGGGTGTCACTGTCTATTTCTCCATGGAGGAGTGGGAGTATTTAGAAGGACACAAGGACCTCTACAAGGACGTCATGATGGACAATCAGCCGCCCCTCACATCACCGGGTAAGAGGAGACTTTATTGGAAAGGAGAGAGCAGTACGGAGGCTCCACCTAGATCCCCCATCATCTGATAAGCACATAGAAACAATGGATTCAGTCAGTGTGTGTGTTTCCTACAGATGGATCCAGTCATGGGAACCCACCAGAGAGATGTCCCCGTCCTCTGTATTCCCGGGATTCCACACAGGAAGGTCACACCATCCCTAACCATCATCAGGCAGATGGATCCAGTCATGGGAACCCAACAGAGAGATGTCCCCGTCCTCTGTATTCCTGGGATTCCACACAGGAAGGTCACACCATCCCTCACCATCATCAGGCAGATGGATCCAGTTATGGGAACCCACCAGAGAGATGTCCCCATCCTCTGTATTCCCGGGATTCCACGCAGGAAGGTTACACCATCCCTCACCATCATCAGGTAGGTGGGACATCTAGAACATGGACTTGTGGAAGTGATGTGTTGGCTCTCACATTATTGTAGCTTCTACTTTACAGATGATATTTTTTCTCCTTCTCTTGATGTAGAGTGGAAATCCAATCGATATAGAAATCAGATGGTCAGAAATCGAGGTGAAATCAGAAGAAGAAGAAGAGGCGTATGTGAGGGATGATCAGCAGTCTATGGAGGAGGATGGAATAACGGGGACATTTATAGAGGAGGACACTCCTACAGAGATCAGCACAGGTGGGTCATGAACACTAAATCCATTCCTCCCCCATACTGCTCACTGATTGGTCCAGATGATAAAGTTCTCATTGGATCTCTCTCTGTCTTTCTGGTTTGGGGGAACCAATCAGCTCCTGTCTAGTAATCCTCTTTGTCTTTGTATTTTAGTCCATGGCCGGGAGATGAGGAAAACCTCCGAGGATTGTCTCACTTTGTCTCCAGACTGGAAAGTAGAAGATGAGGACATCACACAGTATAGTCCAGGAGAAAACCCGGCTCCCTCCGTTGTCCATCCCGCACCACCCAGTGTAGATAGACCATCGGATTCCTCGTATCCTGAGGAACCTCAGACTGTGTGGGACCGGGGGCCGGCCTTCCAACATATAGGAGGTTCTCCTGTCCTGAGTGCGGGAAGAGTTTTTCAAATAAGTCCAATCTTTCCATACATCAGAAATCTCACATAATTGAGAAGCCATGTTTCTGTGGTGAGTGTGGGAAACGTTTTTGTGTGAAGTCCAACCTTTCTGTACATGAGATATGCCACAAAGCCAAGAAGTCGTATTCCTGTTCTGAGTGCGGGAAATATTATTCACAAAAATCAGAACTTGTCATACATCAAAAAACTCACACGGGGGAGAAGCCGTATTCCTGTGCTGAGTGCGGGAAATGTTTTTCAGCTAAGTCACATCTTTGTAGACATCAGAGATTACACACTGGTGAGAAGCCGCATTCCTGTCCTGAGTGCGGGAAGTGTTTTTCTCGGAAGTCCCATCTTACTGGACATCAAATGTGCCACACCGGTGAGAAGCCGCATGCCTGCCCTGAGTGCGGGAAATGTTATCAACGGAAAGCAGACCTTGTTACACATCAACGCTATCACACGGGGGAAAAGCCATATTCCTGCCCTGAGTGCGGACAATGTTTTGTACGTAAACCGATTCTTGATAGACATCGAGGTTGTCATGTTGGTCAGAAGCCATATTCCTGTCCTGAGTGCGGGAAATGTTTTATACGTAAACCACTTCTTGATTTACACCTCAGATGTCACACAGGGGAGAGGCCGTATTCCTGTTCTGAGTGCGGGAAATGTTTTTCACGGAAGTCCCATCTTAGTGGACATCAAATATGTCACAGGGGCGAGAAGCCGCATTCCTGCCCCGAGTGCGGGAAATGTTATCAACGGAAATCAGACCTTGTAATACATTGCAGATCTCACACGGGAGAGAAGCCATATCCCTGTCCTGAGTGCGGGAGATGTTTTGTACGTAAACCACATCTTGATGCACATCGAAGATGCCACACGGGGGAGAAGCCGTATTCCTGCCCAGAGTGCGGAAAATGTTTTTCACAGAAGTCCAATCTTTCCAGACATCAGAGATCTCACACAACCCTTGAGGTGCATTAGTCTCCCGAGTGCGGGAAATGTCTTCAGTATGAATCACATTTTGCCGTACATCAGAGATCTCACACTGGGAAGAAGCACACCTTGATATACACCTCAGGGAACACACACCTCAGTTAGGAGGCTTTAACCTCCATGTGGAGAAGATTACCAGGGGGCCCCCCACTCACCCATTGTGTGTGCCACCATAGGACCTGTAGAGAGCGAAGGTCAGTCCCCCAACTCATGGAATCTTTTAGCTTTAAGAACAAGAAGTCAGTCCCAGGATGACCCCTGTGTCTCTTCGCCAGAGTCGCCAGGTGGACAGGTCCCAAAACTTTATAGGCAAAAGAGAGGAGCGGGTCCAGGCAAGGAACCCTAGAGGGGCCACATTATTATCATTATTATTATACAGGACTTATGGCGCTGACAGTTTGCTCAGCGCTGTACATTATAGTGGGAGACAATACAGTAACAATACAGTTCAATACAAGAGGGTTAGGAGGGCCTGATCTTGGGAGCTTACAATCTAGGAGGGAGGGGCTAGTGGTACAAAAGGTAATAACTGTGGGGGATGGAGTGGTAGGAGGAATAGAAGATTCCATTATTAGCTGAGGGCAGGATAGGCTTCCCTGAAGAGAGAGGTTTTCAGTGATCGCTAAAGGTAAGCAGAGTAGGCGATAGTCTGATAGACGGGTAGGGAGTTCCAGAGGATTGGGGAAGCTCTTGAGAAATCCTGGAGACGAGCATGGGAGGAGGAGACAAGGGAGCTAGAGAGCAGGAGGTCGAGGGAGGAGCGGAGAGGACGGTTTGAGTGATATTTAGAGACAAGATCAGTGTTGTAATTTGGGGCAGTGTTATGAACGGCTTTATACGTCAGTGTTAGTGTTTCGAATTTTATCCGTCGGGCAATTGGGAGCCAGTAGAGGGATTGGCAGAGAGGGGTGGAGGACACTGAGTGGAGGCTAGTGGAGAAATTGGCAGAGAGGGGTGGAGGACACTGAGTGGAGGCCAGTGGGAGGGATTGGCAGAGAGGGGTGGAGGACACTAAGTGGAAGTCAGTGGAAGGATTAGCAGAGAGGGGTGGAGGACACTAAATGGAGGCCAGTGGAGGGATTGGCAGAGAGGGGTGGAGGACACTGAGTGGAGGCCAGTGTTGGGATTGGCAGAGAGAGATGGAGGGCACTGAATGGAGGCCAGTGGAGGTATGGGCAGAGAGGGATGGAGGGCACTGAATGGAGGTCAGTGGAGGAATTGGCAGAGAGGGGTGGAGGACACTGAATGGAGGCCAGTGGAGTGATTGGCAGAGAGGGGTGGAGGACACTGAGTGGAGGCCAGTGGAGGGATTGGCAGAGAGGGGTGGAGGACACTGAGTGGAAGTCAGTGGAAGGATTAGCAGAGAGGGGTGGAGGACACTGAATGGAGGCCAGTGGAGGGATTGGCAGAGAGGGGTGGAGGACACTGAGTGGAGGCCAGTGGAGGGATTGGCAGAGAGGGGTGGAGGACACTGAGTGGAGGCCAGTGGAGGGATTGACAGAGAGGGGTGGAGGACACTGAGTGGAGGCCAGTGGAGGGATTGGCAGAGAGGGGTGGAGGACACTGAGTGGAGGCCAGTGTTGGGATTGGCAGAGAGAGATGGAGGGCACTGAATGGAGGTATGGGCAGAGAGGGATGGAGGGCACTGAATGGAGGCCAGTGGAGGGATTAGCAGAGAGAGATGGAGGACGCTGAATGGAGGTCAGTGGAGGAATTGGCAGAGAGGGGTGGAGGACACTGAATGGAGGCCAGTGGAGTGATTGGCAGAGAGGGGTGGAGGACACTGAGTGGAGGCCAGTGGAGGGATTGGCAGAGTGGGGTGGAGGACACTGAATGGAATCCAGTGGAGGGATTGGCAGAGAGGGGTGGCAGAACGGTTAGTAAGGTGGATGAGTCTGGCAGCAGCATTCATGATGGACTGTAGTGGGGATAGCCTGTGATGTCAGCCAGTGAGGAGGGAGTTACAATAGTTGAGGCGTGATATAATAAGGGAGTGCATGAGTTGTTTAGTAGTTTCTGGGGTTAGGAACGGACGTATCTTGGAGATGTTGCGGAGGTGAAGTCTACATGAGTTTGTCAGTGATTGGATCTGGGGCTGGAAGGAAATACTGGAGTCCAGGATTACACCTAGTACCCTGGCGTGAGGGGTGGGACTGATGGTAGTGTTGTTGATCGTGATGAAGAAGTCAGGGAAGGGGGCACAGACTGGGGGGAATACTAGGAGCTCAGTTTTGGAAAGGTTGAGTTTGAGGAAGTGGAATGACATCCAAGCCGATATGTCACTTAGTAGTCAGGTGATGTGATTGGAGACTGAAGGGGTGAGGTGAAGAGGAGACTGAAGGGGTGAGGTGAGGGGTAGAGAGGTAGATTTGTGTGTCGTCAGCATAGAGATGGTAGTTGAAGCCGTGGGAGTTTATCAATTGGCCAAGGGAGGAGGCGTAGATGGAGAAGAGAAGGGGTCCAAGAACCTTGAGGGACCCCAACAGAGAGAAGGAGTGGAGAGGAGGTGGCAGCATTGTAGGTAACACTGAAGGAGCGCTGTGATAGATAGGAGGAGAACCAGGAGAGAGCGGAGTCTCTGAGGCCAAGAGAGTGGCGTTTTTTGAGGAGGAGGGGGTGGTCAACCGTGTCAAAAGCCGCAGAGAGGTCGAGTAGTAGGAGTAGAGTATAGTGGCCATTGGTTTTGGCGGTTAGCAGGTCGTTGGTGAGTTTGAGTAGGGCAGTTTCGGTGGAGTGTAGGGGGCGAAAGCCAGACTGTAAAGGGTGAAGAAGGTTGTTGTCGGTGAGGTGGGAGCTCAGGCAATTGTAGAATAAGTGTTCTAGGAGTTTAGAGGTAAATTGCAGCAGGGAGATGGGTCTTAAGTTATTCAGGTTGGTGGGGTCCAGGGAGGGTTTCTTAAGTATGGGAGTGATGTGTGCATGCTTTAGAGGAGAGGGGAAGGTAGCAGTGGTGAGGGAAAGATTGAAGATGTGAGTGAGGGAGCATAGGATGGAAGAGGAGGGGGACCGCAGGAGTTGTGAGGGGGCAGGTGGTGAGGCAGGCTTCGGAGATAATCATCCATATGTGGCACATCTCAACTGCTGGCCATTCCATACAACCTCTCCCAGATGGACCAGGGTGCCCCCCAACTGACAAGAATGTAGAACATGGAGCTGGCGTCATGAAGTCCATCATACCGCTAACACTGGGCCACAGGCTTGAGGTCTTCCCCATTCCTGAAGGCATCTGAGCAGCAGATTGTAAAGCCATTAAATGAGATATGAACCGCCTCCAGCCGCCCTGACTACACATTCAAAAAGAGGGCCGCATAGCAGAAGGGGCATCCCGTGGGGGTGGGTGACTGTGTGGCCGGAAAGGTTGCCAACTGGCCGGGTAGACTTAGTAGGTCAGGCGTGTCTGGATATTGAAAGAGTCAGTGGGTCAGGAAATGGGAGCCCTGAGGGAGGAATTCAGATCGGGCAGGGTGGCTTCACTGTATTGTCAACTCAATGGTAACCTATGGATCACTAGGTAACATTCTAGGGTCCATTGGACTACAGGATGATTGAAGCCTCGGACTCGAGTTTCTTTCTAGTAGATGCAGCCGGTCAGGAAAAGAGACTTCTTCCATATGGAGAAAGGCAAAAAGATCTGAGAGATTGGCAGGGTTTTGCAACATGAAAGAAGTAGAATTCTTCTGAACCATCAAGTGGAAGGGAAGTTGCAACCTGTAGGCCATCCCAGCTTGAAGTAGCCTGCCCTGGTAGCAGCCTCCATAGTGCTGTCCTCTGCAGTGTAGGCAAATTGGGCAGCAGACCAGAATCATGTCCCTGAGATCCAACTTTTCTACGTAAGTTTTTTTTTTTTCTAGCATAGCATTGGACGCTGCAGATAACTGCCCATGGTCTGGCTGGGTCTGATGACTTGGGGCCTAGAGCTCTGTGGGAGGGCCTCAGAGCCACAACTTGTCGTGGTGGCTCCAATCTTCAAGATTCTCCATGTGAAGTTGGAGAGAGATGACACGAGAGGCTTGCTCTGTCTGTGCCCAATCCAAAGCTGTAAGGTGTGAGTCTGAAGCCTAGGTGGTGGACTCCTCTTTCTTGATGTACTCCATCATCTGCTGTAGGTTGGTCAGCATCCCCCTGTAGCTCTTGTTGGTGTTTTTTATCAGGGCCGCTATGCCAGTCTTAGTTGGAAGGGCATGGAAAAGACCCTTAGGTCTTCGAGTTCGTCCTCCATGTTGTGTACTGAGCTGCACCACCTTAGCAGGTCCAAGCTGTGGGAACGCTGAAGCCTTCATCAGTGTAGACCGAACTCCGAACATGGTGGAGGGGACAAACATGGAGGATGGTTCATGAGTCTCCATTGTGGCCAGTGAGTGGGAGTCAGCCATCTTAGGTCAACTGAGAGCCAGGACAGCTCATAAAGATGCTGAAAAAAGATCATCTTCGTTATAGTAGCCAGTTTCTGTGATTGGCGTTTAAGCACTCGGTAATGGGACAAACATGGAGGATGGTTCATGAGTCTCCATTGTGGCCAGTGAGCAGGAGTCAGCCATCTTAGGTCAACTGAGAGCCAGGACAGCTCATAAAGATGCTGAAAAAAGATCTTCATCTCCGTTATAGTAGCTAGTTTCTGTGATTGGCGTGTAAGCACCCGGTAATGGGACAAACATGGAGGATGGTTCATGAGTCCCCGTTGTGTGCAGTAGTCAGCCATCTTAGGTCAACTGAGAGCCAGGACAGCTCATAAAGATGCTGAAAAAAGATCTTAATCTCCGTTATAGTAGCCAGTTTCTGTGATTGGCGTGTAAGCACCCGGTAACGGGCAGAAGTACGGGAGCTAAGAATAGGTCTTCACTATGCCAGGTCTAGACCATGCCCATCCTACAGGAAATATTTGTAAGCAGGACGTTGGATATACATCCTAAAA